TTTTTTTCTTCTGTCTCAAACACCTAGCCCTAGAGAGATAGCATAGCACGGTCATTGAGTCCAGAATTTGAAACCAGATGTCCTAGGTTCAAATCTCATCTAAGTTACTTATCCTTTTTATGCCTCACTTTCTCCCAAGTTAAGTGGGAGAATAATAATAATATTATCTCACAGAGTTATGAGATGTAAATGACTTAATATGTGCAATGTGGTTAGAACAGTGCCTAGTATATATTAAAAATGAAATTATTAGCTATAATATTTATTATATTATTCATTATGGAAATCAACATCTTCTACATCATGGGCCCTTTATTTCTAATAGAACGATTTCTATTTCATTCTATTATTGATTGGTGTATAGCATAGTAGCAGCCCAGTTACTCCATTCTTATATCATCAATTTCTTCTTACTTGTTTTTCTTGACTGGGTACTTATATATGTTCATATTTTTCCAAAGCGGAAAGAAGGAAGAAAGGAAGGAAGGAAGGTAGGAAGGAAGGAAGGCAGGAAGGTAGGAAGGAAGGAAGGAAGGAAGGAAAGAAGGAAGGAAGGAAGGAGGGGAGTACATCCACATCCCCTCCAGCTATCACCCTCTCTCTAGTCTGTCTTTCTTCCCATCATAAATTTCTTTAAAGAATTCCTGAAGAATGTCTGCCAATAATATCCTAGAAAGCTACAGAACATTATTACACTCCTAAAAGAGGGACAGGGGCAGGATCTGGGGCACATTGTCGGACTCTAAGCTGAAAACCCATTATATCGTTTTCTTTACTTGACTCTTCCTCTACCTCACTCTTTAAAGTTGTTTTATCTCACCATAAAACCTTTGGTCCTGTGTTCTCACTCATCCACAATCTGAACTCCCAAGGAAATTTTATCTCCTCCCTAGCCTGAAGGAAAATTGACATGTCAGTGACTTCCAAATCAAGATTTTCATCTCAGGTGTCTCACTGGGCTTTAAATCGACACCGTGATTCAATTCATCCTTTACGTGACAAATGACTCAGTATAAGACATCTCAAAATTATTTTAATTATTCAAGCACACCATCACCAAATCTGATTCTTTCTCTGCATGATCAATCTCATTACTTGGTAACATCATGAACACATTTTTTTTTCTTCCTTTCTAATTATTATGAAGTATTAAATATATTTTTTAAAAGCCACAAATAATAACATAAGTCTTATACCCAGTACTTAACTTAAGAAATAAATAGTATAAAATTACTAAAGCTCGCTGTATACCCCCTTGTGTAGTATATTACCCTTTCTAAACCCAGAAATAACCATTATCTTGAAAGTAAAGATATTTTCTTTCTTAATGATAAACTGTAACAAATTAATAGGGTTAATGAACTCAGTGATTCTTGATGTGTGATTCATATTAATGAAGCTGTTTAATGACTAAATTCTTTTAATAAGGTTTATAATGGGACTCAAGACACACCTAATATACCACACTGTATGTTATGTACTTTATGCAGTCTTTTCATCTCTAGGACCTAGAGGAAAAATAGCTGAGGAATAACATAATCCTCATAAGGACTGTAGCAATTTAAAAAAAATAATGGTAAAAATGATACGTCAGAATTGAACAATAGTCCACTACAACACCGAAGAGAAGCAGCATCTAAACAGATGAGGTGGTGGGCCTTTCTTGTTAGTACAAGTTCTTTTCCTAGGTCTGCATTGTATTTTCTATGTCCCTGGTCACATTACTCATAAAAACTGCACAACACAGAGAGTAATATTTTATGTAAACTGGATAAAAATGCTTTATACAATTGGGATAATAATGCTGGCCATCCACCAAGTTCACGAGGAATAATGAGATCATGTTTACCAGGTTTTATAAGATTCATGGATGAAAGTAGTTATACAAGTACGAAGTCCTGGAAGACATTCTGCTGTGTTCTGAGCAACAGGGATAATGTCTACACAAGAAGAATATAGTTTTGTGTGCTAGCTGAAGTTAGGACAATGAGAAGTCAGGTTGTAAAGTCAAAAGAATATCAAGGAAATGAAGGCAATAGGAAAACGATCTGCCCAGAGATCTATAATAGATATTATTTAAATACACCCTCCCTGCTTTTTGCTTTCAACTAAATCCTTATCTAAGAACTGAGATGCTTTGGATGAGTATGAATTAACGAGGGAGCATCTTACTTTTCTGAATCATTCTTTACGAGGATCTTAACGAAATACTATTTCTAGCGAAGAAAAGCTATTTTCCCCATAGTATGACAAGACCATGAACAGAATTTAAAAACTTGACTTGTTCATTCTAGTCTCCCTGTTCATTAAGTACTTCCTTCCAAGTACATACAATAGGAAAAAGTTTCATAAAGTAAATCAGAATTTCTTGTACTGTTCTATGGAACAATATTAGGTTGAGATGCCCCATGAAAAATAGTAAGACTCTAAGACCTAAATAAACAAGTTTAATGTTATCATTCCCATTATTCACCATACATATTTTGTTACAAAATACTTAGTTAATATTTTACATATTAATGTCTAAGAACTTAAGCTCTTCTGAAACACACATCCAAAATTAATGAAAATTTCTTAGGGGCATGACCGTAATTCTAGGCATGTAAGGGGCAAAGCTTCAAATACTATGAAAATTCATAAAACCATGCACAGTAACTCAAAATTTGAAAAACTAAAGGGGTAAAATTCAATATAGAACAAAGTCATATGCAGAAAAAGAAATAGAAATGTTTATACTATGTGCATTGGATAAGAATGAAAATGTACACTTTTTTTCTAAATAATTAGTTTAATCCACACTTTAGTTGATGTGGACGATTTTACATAATCTTATTTTTGGGTTTGCATTTGACTAGTGTGAAGTCTGAAAATAATGTAGAAATAGACATTTCATTTTGAATATGTTAACTTAAAACTTCACATAAAATATAGTAAACCTACGTGCACATACCAACACACACCCCTCCACACACACACACAAATACAAACATATGGACATGACACTAAGAAATTAATTTTGTTTTCTAACTATAAAATCAACAAGATTTTCTTAAGTTGCACATCTCAACTATTCAAAAACTCTCACTAATATAAAAACATTAGAGTACTTTGACTGTGGAGCATTTTCTGCTGTCAAAAATATGAGTGAGTAAAAGATTGGCATTCAAAATTCAGCAAATAGAAAAAAAATTGAAAATATTTCATAAATCATTCCTCAAATTATAAAAGCCAGGTAAAATGAAATCTGATAGTACAATTGACCCTTGAACAACATGGATTTGAACTGCAAGGATTCACTTACACAAGGATCTTTTTTTTTCAATAAATACCTGTACTG